TAGACAAGGTTTAGCTTCATGTGATAAGATAATGATGACAATTTAGCTTTGGTCTTTTTCTCCACTTGGTTTGGTAGTGCCCATCCAAGTTGGGTAGCACTTGATATCAGCTTCAACTTCAGAGTTTGCTCCAAGTAGGGCCTCTATGTAATAAGGAGACAACGACAATCTCTAAAAATTCTTCAACTTCATATTCTTCATGATCAAACTTTCCTCCCTTTTGAATACATGTGGCTCATGCTTCACATTGATACGATAAAAACTACCACGGCCACAGCCACACAATGTCATATCTCTCCTCGGCTCAACTCGGAGAGAATGAAAATAAAAATATGGAAATAACCCTTTATGATAATAACACCTCTCTTTCAACAAATATAGAAATTCACATGTGGGTTTTAACAAGTTTATGTTGTCTGAACTGAGGTGGACACGTAACAGATAAGTCCTGCCAACTTGGACGATCCAAGGTGGGACGGAAAAGTAGTACACCAAGCGAAACTTGCAACCAAATCAATGTTAGAGGTCCTAAAGAGAAGGTCTCTAGGGAAGGCACTCCGACGATGAAGTCAGTAACAAGTGAAGAGGTCAGCCAAGCTGAGCTGTTAAGGGAAAGTTGGTCTAGGTTGACCAAGGTTAAGGAAGAAAAAGAGCAAGAAGGCTAGAGAGAGAAAGAGATTGGAGAGAGTGTACCATGAGGGGAGATGCCTTTGAATAACTGATTTTCATGGTGCACTTGGCCATGTCCCTTGTGAGGCTTAAGGGAGGAGACTACTCATCGAGGTCTTCGAACGGTCTTGTGTTCCTCGATAGTGATGCTTATCAACGAGATAGAGACATCGTGTGTCCTGAGCATGTCTGAGGTTTTCACCCACAAGTAAGTATGCCAACTCTGGTATGTGTCATTCTAGCCTGTTGATGTGGCCCGAGGAGGTCGGCTGGTTCTAGGACACAACAACAACCATGTGGCAGCTTCAAACGACTAAGGTATGACCCTAACACTAGTCCCCTAGTTTTGAAGTCAAGGAGAGAGGCATTCGACTGAAGTGAAGTGTACGAGCTTCTGTCATGTTTGACTAAGGAACTTAGCACTTTAATAGGGTCAATTAGAGTGTGATCAGATTGAATAAGAGAACCGTGGCACCGACTTGTGAAATTTGAACTTTCAACGTTGATTGTATGGTCCAACAATCGCATTGTTTCATCCTCTCAAGCCTACACATGTGCAAAGTGTAGGGATGGATCTAGACCATTGTACAGTTTCAATCTTGACCGTTAGCTGCCTTTATATAAGGCAAAGAGCAAGCTACTTTTTCATTTGAGCGAGAGTGTCCTTTAGCGTTCATCTAGTACTCCCTCATTTGGTGCTTTCATGCTTTTGTTCTTAAGTAAGATCTCTTTGTCCTCATCTTCTTCATTTACTCTTTCTTCTTTTGGTTCAAGTAGCTTTAGCTCAATGGACGATCATGAGTCGAGGCCTCAGCACGAAGCTACTGAGGTTGTTGTCCCTAAGACCGACACCAATGAGGTTGAGGTCGAGGTCGAGGAGGAGTGCAACATCGAGTTTTCTTTGACTGAAGCCGAGGTAGTGAAGGCCCAAGAGGAGGCTGAGGAGAATAATGAGGTCAAAAGTAGAAATTCTAAAGGAAGAACCCAAAGTTCCCATAAGGTTCGGGGAGCACTTCACCACGACTCCTTGTAAGCTGGTGTCTAAGGATATGTAGAGGATAAGGGAAACATACAACATCCCTCTTGAATAAGTGAGAGGGGAAACTTGCCTCAGCCCAGTGAGCTATGTGTGTATGAAGAAAGTCTAATTGTGGAACTAAGGTTTCCCCTAGATAACGGCCTAGTGATCATGTTGAGGTGGCACCATGTCTTGTTCATCCAATTGATGTTGAACTCCTTTAGGTATCTAGTTGGGCTTCTTTGCTTCTTTACCATTCACGATAGTCCAGTCACTTTGCCCATGTTCAAATACTTTCTCCACTTGTGGAACTAAGGTTTCCCCTAGATAATGGCCTGGTGATCATGTTGAGGTGGCACCATGTCTTGCTCATCCAATTGATGTTGAATTCCTTTAGGTATCTAGTTGGGCTTCTTTGCTTATATACCATTCACGATAGTCCGGTCACTTTGCCCTTGTTCAAATACTTTCTCCACTTGAAGTAGCACCAATGGGGCTATTACTACTTCTTAACTTGGTCGAACACCATTACGCCAAAGTGCTCACTGGAGCCCCTTCTTTGGTTAAACATTAGAAATGGGGTATTTTCTTCATGAGGCACAAGGATGGATGGCCCTTTGATCCTAAGCTAGCTATCTCGTGGACTAAAGTGAAGGCCTCGATGAAGGCCAAGCTGAAGAGAGAAGAAAGAGCAGCCCTAAGGCGGATCACAAAGGTGCACGTAAAGCAGTAAACCTCATCTTCCATGTTGATCCGAGCTAGGTTGTTGCAGCTCCCAACTGGTTGATCTTCATACTGTGGGAGTTTACTTGTTACCTTTTACCTTGACTTTCTAATTACTGACTATCTTTCGGTGTCATGCAAACGTAGAGATGGATGCTAATGATGAGGCTTAAATGCAGCATTTCCATGCTGCAACGGCAAAGAAGGCCACAACTTCATCATCGAGTACATTTCCTTCCTAGCATCGGTCTAAGGATACCACTCCCTGCCATCAAAAAGGGTGAGGACCACGAAAGACAACATTGTCAAGGTGGATGTCGAGCAAGCACGCTCCCTCTTTGAAGCCGGACCTGGTAGCGAAGAGGAGGAGGAGGTCGAGGTGTATCAACCAAATTGGAGTGTCCATTCTAGAGACACGTTAGAGACAAAGGGTGTAGCAAAGAAGCTCACCCGGGCCATGTTACTCCCTAAGATCTGAAGGGAGAATTCGAGTCATATGAGCAGGGCACTGGAGAGCTCAGTCATCCACAATACCATGAGGCTGTGGCGGTAAGTTTGATGTCTTTCTGTTTTTTTATTCATTTCTTCCAATTCAAGAGTTTGGTCTGATGTCTTTCTCTATTTTGCAGGTTGTCTACATGGTCACTAGTTTGGTCACCGCACATGTGCCCTTAGGATATTTTCCAAGCAGAGGGAAGGAGAGAAGACAATGTTGAAGGTCGAGCTGGATGAGGCGGAGAAGGCCATGGAGGCTAAGGAGGAAGACATGAAGAAGCTGAAGAGCCGCCTTCACGAGGCAAAGGAGAAGGCGAAGAAGACGACAGAGGAGGCAAAGGCAAGGGTTGCTCAAGAAAAACAAGAGACCATGGCTGAGTTCAAGACATCTGACGATTACAAGACTGAGTTGGACAACTTCGCCACTGACTCCTACCAAATAGGCTTCATGCACTTATTCCTGGATATTGCTCACGTGGTAGAGGAGCTCGTCCCTTGGGATCTGGAAGCACCCAACAAACAAACCAAGGGAGGAAGAGTAACCGAGGCCATTGACAAAGTGGACACCTAGGAGCCCTCCGATGATCCTTCAACTCAGCAATTATAATCGTTGAAGTCCTCAAGTGGTTACTCCATCAACCTTTTGTCCATTCTCTTGCATTGCACTTTTCTCTCTCTCTCTCTCTCTCTCTGTTGTCTTGTATGGCTCGGTATGTCGAGCCCAAACACTTGTACAAATTTTCTTTTGCAATGAAAATAGCCTTCGTTATTTCATTTTGATTTATCAAATTCTTCTATTGACTTATAATGAATTGTGTGTTTGTGACGTGGCCTCAGCCTCTAGGTGGCCAAGGTCCATGCCTTCATTGAAGGTTTGTTGGTTTCTAGAAACCGGATTCGGTCTTCGGATGATTAAGGCCTTTAGCTTGATGACGTGGTCTTTAGTTAACCAATGAAAGATTGTGTTAAGTTGGTTTCTACAACTCAAGTTGTCTCCGAGTTGGGCTGGCCAAGGTACTTCCAAGCTCTCTAAATGATTGGAGAGCTCGGTGGTGCCTAATCATTTTGGAGTCGATTGAAGGTTCCTCAATGGGCCAACAGTGACCCTCAGTCAACTCTACCCCAGCACCAAGCAAGGAAGCCATCATGGGTCCTCGGCCCTATGGAGCTATCTGGGCACCACGAGGTAGTCCTCTTTGGCCATCCTTTAGCCATGGGTGGTAGGGAAGTTTATCTCAGCAGTCTGGTGCGAAAATAGCTTTATTGCTTAACCGAGAAATTACAAAGAGTTCAGTTGTCGTTTATCTCAACGTCGTTCACTAATAGTAAATTCTCAAATTACTTGAACTTCAACTCCATGGTATGGAATTGCTATCAAGGTCCTCTAGTTTGTAAGGGCTTAGTCCCAATACTTTACTCGCTTTGTATGGCCCTTCCTAATTTGGTCCGAGTTTTCCTATGTCGGGTTCTAGTACAATAACTTTGCGAAGGACAAGGTCTTCTACCTTGAACTGCATGCAGTGAACCCAAGCATCACAATACCTGGCCATTCTCTACTAGTACGTCGCCATTTTGATCTGCGCTCAACCTCTAGTTTCTTCTAGGAGGTCTAGTTCGGCCCAAAAATAGCGAGGCAAGGTGCCTACAACCCCTTGTAACACATAGATATCAAAATGTTATCTAAATTCCAAAATTGGATCACTCTAATCAAACATCAAAGCACAAAGTTATGGCCTCCAAAAGTTTACATACATATTTAATGTGCAACCCATGACCTAGTCACATGATCAAATGGGTCAACGGTCTAACCAACTAGATTGAACAACTTTTTTTACCTGATCAATAGTTTTTGTACAAATTCCAGGTTTTACTAGAACTAAACATGGAATCATGACCGGACAATGTAAAACAAAGAAAATCATTGGTGTTTTTTATGCCTCAAAAGTCACCACGAAATATCAACTTTGTATATATATATATATATATATATATATATTTGATTTCTTGGAATAAAAAAAATGATGGCGCTAGAACCAAAAGAAGAGAGAGAGATGCAAGACACAGTTTCATGTCTTTGATCTTCAAACTAGAAGCATTTAAGTCCCGTAGGATAAACAAGAACCAATGTAACATTTCCACCATGTGAGAAGAGTTGGGCTATACATGTAGAGAGTATGCTGCACTCATCATATATTAATATATAAGAGGTATTACATGTAAATTAATACACAAAATACATCCAGGTCTCTTAATACTATAGCCAATAAACCTAACTTGCACCCTAAGTTTCTAATTACACCCCCTGTAGTCAAAAGATGGAAGTTACCGCCATTCAGTCATGGCAGTTGGAAATTTGATCATTGCAATCTTATTTCTCTTTCTCCACACAGTCCTAACCTTGCTTTGCTCTATCTGTTCATTCAACTTCAAATAAAACATCGTTCCCCTTAAAACTCAACTCAGAGCTACAGTTTTCTTTCAACAAGTACTTAACTTGCATTTCTTGATTAGCTCTTTTCTATTGGCCTAAAAAAGGAGCCGATTGTAAAACCAGAACTTAAAATTCAAGTTACTATAAAGAAAGGGAACCATGAAATTAGATGAAGCCATGAAAGAGTACGAATGCTCTGCACTCTGCTCCAATGTATGTACTCTCATAGGAGGCAGAGGAGAAGGAAACATCTCAAGGCTTTACCTTGTACCCATAATAGCTCTTGAAAACTCTGGGGAGAAAAACAGGCAGCAGCAACCCAAACAGATTGAAGCACCAGAAGACCAGATTGGCAACCGCAAGGCCTCTTCCAACATACAATCTCCTCGTCGACCCACCAATCTCACTCTTCAACCAATCCACTAGGGTAAATATCCTCCTCGTATTGTAAAACACTGGCACAAACACCCGGATTGGGATCGAGAATCTGTCCGTGAACGTCAATCCTTCCATGAATATTTGGCTGCATAACAGGAAAACGAGAGAAACGGCTGCCTTGATGCCTTCCTGGTCGCCTTCCAAGATCCCTTCCAGGATGTACGCAATTGGGAGGAAGATCCCAATTAAGGCAGAAATGGAGACGTAGATGCCCAAAAGCTTATTGCTTACGCCTAAGGTAGGGGGCTCCGGGGAGGGAGTGAGCAAAGGGAACACGAATTTGGAGAGGAAATGCACGTAAATGAGGGAGAAAATTACGAAAGCAAAGTCTTCGATGCTTACCATTCCGGTAACAGAGAAGACGATGACGACGGCGAGTGCGTTCAGATGTTTGTAGGTCAGAGATCTTCGGCGGGCGCTAGGTTTCTGCGATTTGCCAACAGAACCCAAGCGCTGTTGCTCTGATTGATGTTCTTCTGTCGCTGTACCTCGCCTGACATGCTCACTCATTGTGGTTGTCTCCAGCAGGCAGGGAGGGGAAACAGGAAATCAGACGGTTGCAGAGGACCAAGTGGAAATTTAGGACCGAAGAGGAGATCGATGGATTCCTGAGAGAAGACTTCCGGCCTTGTTGGATTAAGAGGGTCTGGACTGGAGTTGGGAGTTCAGAAGAGGATAAGACTTCTAATTATCAGCGGGGTAGGGCTTAGAGTGACACGTGTCATGAGGTCGACTGAACTCTAAATTTCCCATTAAAAAAAAGTTTGTCCCAGTCACAGCAGTAATCAATCAAGGTGGTTTGGTACTTGGTCTAGCAAATCAAATCGAAGCAGATGATGGAGCAAGGTAGAAACTTGCCGCGTGGATAAGTGTGAAGTGGCCTAAACTTACCAGCTGTACAATGTCTTTGAGGCCAGGGGAGGGTTGTGTAATCAATAATACACAAGAAAATTGTACACAGTATGAAGGTAAAATGCATCTAACGACTGTTGAACATAAAGATTGAAGAAAAATAACCAGTATGTACCAAAAAAAAGGCAAAAATAACAAGACACAAAGAAAATGAAAGCTTTGCAATAACGCTAAAAGCCCACATTATTACAGATAAAAAAAAAAAATTAGATAACATAACGGAAAGACCCTACCAGAATCTGGAAGAAATAAATAGAATAAAAAGAAAACCAGCCATTCTAAAGGACTTTCCGCCAAATTAATCTTTTTTCGTCTTTTTTTTTTTCCATTTCATCTTTCTGTTCTTTTTTATAAGCACAGAAGACCTCTGCTAAAAACTGGAACCTCTGCTGGGCGTTGGTGAAAATGCACAATGGTAAAATATAACAAAAAATGGTTTCAACTTTCAATCAAGTGCCGTTTCTCTGCTTGGGTATGTACTTTAGCTTTATCACCTTCTCCGGCTTTCCCCTGAACTTGGCTTTATTGGGTCCTGTAGGGGAAACCTCAAGAGGTCCCACCCCAGCGTTGCCAAGGTTATTCACTTTGCAACAATCAGATGGCAATGCCGTGGCCACTTCAGCATCATCTAAGATCTCTGGGGATCCTGGAGGTCCAGTTTTTGGGAATAGGACCAGCTTCACATGGTCAGCTGCTATTGCCTCCTTCCATCCTGCATGGAAAAATCTTCGTACAATTAGGCACACAAGATAGCCAAGTATGGTTTAGGTCAGGGAAAAAATAGAATGCTTACGCTGGGCAAGAAAAGCTGCTGCAGCACGACTCGAGAATAACCTGAGGCCTCTTGCATCAGTGCTTTCTTCCCACAGTTTGGAAGAACCATTTCTGCTCTCTGAACTATTATCATCTATATTACCTTGGACCAGACAGCTTTCATTGGACAGAATTCTATCAGTGCCTTCACCAGAATTCACATCCATTTCAGCTTCTCTAGTTTCATTTTGAACTGCCATAGAACCTTCTTGTCTTCCCACCGGTCTCCAGAGCTTGACCATTGATCGGCTTGTACTACTGTGACAAACATCAAGTTTAATGGGTTTCTCTTGGGTGTTGTTCCGTCTAGGCGGTTGATAATCCGAAGTGCACTGGTCAACAGAAGCAGCCAGAATATTGCCCTGGCACCCACCACTGCAATCTCCAAGAGTGACAGAGATAGAACCGATCAACAACTCGTTGCTTCCATTCTGATCTGATTGATTCAGAAATTCTCTTTGTTCTTTTACATTTGAACACTCCTCTTCATTTTCACACTTGGTTTTCCGTGTCCACACCTTATGACCATTAACCGTGGAAGTGGCTCTCTGGTCCCTGTAACTCCCATGCTTTGGTGCAGCTCCCACCTTCGACATAGGAGGAATCTGACCAGAGTGAAATCCATTTGAGGTGCCCTTTAGCTGTTTTGGTAGCTGCCTTCGAGCGGCATTCATCTGTCTTCGGCTACTTTCTTGCTGCACTTCATGGTACACATTCTGATAGTTGGCTGAACTGGTGTTACCAGAAGCCATCTCAACATCAGGATCACTAAAACCTGCGTGACTTCCTGTATCTGCTTCCAGATCAGTGTCCAAAAGTTGGTTGGGCTCCAAACTTGGTTGAATAGGATCCAATTGTTCTCCAGATGTGCATGGATGGGAGTCAGAGACGTCCACTGGGCTGGTTGTTTCTGCAGAAGGCAAATCCTCCCATGTCTCTGGGGAAGATTCTTTGAAATCTGTCTTTTCCACACTCGTTTGTTCTTTCGATTTCTGCTCTTTCTGTCTAAGTTTCTTCAGCCGTCTCTTTTCCAAGATCTCAGCTTGCCTTTTTAGGGGGGTGGAGGGTGGGAGAGAGAGAATGAGTCAGTTCAAGCACAAATAGAAAACGGATGTTTTTAACCTTAGAGCTTGGACCTCTAAAATGATATAAAACAGTTTTTTTTTTTCATTCTATGCCTTCTGAGCAGTTTAAAGGGCAGCCCAATGCACAAGGCTCCCGCCAATGTGGGGTCTGGGGAGGGACAGATGTATGCAGCCTTACCCCTGCATATACAGAGAGGTTGTTTCCAAGGATTTCCTGGTCACCCAGGTCATAATGGAGCAACCCAACCCTTCCAGCAGTTTAGCTGGTAAGTATAAGCAATTTGTTTGATTGAACTAGTTCACTGTTTGTTTGGTCATGAGCAAACAGAACAAAATACCACCTAAAGTTCGAATAACCTCGGGAAAAAAAAAAGCATAACTGTAATGCAAAATAGTTGTTCAATATCAGTGCCAACTGCCAAACAGGCAAGATTTTTACAGTGGGATTAACAATCCTAAAACCCAGCATGTTCTAGAAGTTCATTTGGCATTACTGCTGGAAATGATTCAAAAAAATTAATTTAATCAAAGTGTACAACCCAGAAATAGTTTTTTCTCTTTCATCTACAAATAAAATAAATGCTACACATTATTTATATAATAAAAATGCTACTCAAATATAAATAAGAAAATAAAAATCTAAGATAAATTGTGCCATATAAATTTGTCAGCATGTATATCATGCATGGTTTTAAACTCTTACCAGAATTTAAGGATTTAACTCCAGTATGATAACTGGAAACAAAAGTCAATGGGAAACTGGGAATTAAACAAAGTCAGTATCAGCTGTCTGGGGTTCTTGGGAGAGGTAGAGTGGTATGGACCCAACCTTTGGCATCTTTTTGCACAAAGTGGCCACTCTCAGACTCAGAACCCAAGTTCCCATGCTTGCCAGTCTGAGATTTTACCATTACACCAAGCAATGGCCCCTATAACTGTGAAATAAACCTATATAAAATAAATTACGTGTGAAGTTCAGGCATATGCATGAACCTGGTAGATTCAGGATATCAGACTTCGAGGAAAACTGAAATGAAATGCAAATAGAATAAATCATACATGAAGTTAACGTGTAATAAAAAGTTATGCATGAATGTAGTAGAGTCGCACTAAATTATTTTGAGCTGTTATTTTTCAACTTATTAGAGTTCACAAAATTCATTTTAAAACAAAAGGAAATATACAAGTGGTTAATTTTAGGGAGAATGACTGATCAGTCCAGGGCAGAATTTTGTAGCCCCACTGTACAGGGGGATGAATCCTGACTGTGGATTGATGTCAAATCCACGGGCAGGATGCGGTTTATAGGGGGGGGGGGCTACTAGTAGACTATGGGGGATTGTAATTCAGAATTCTGCATTGAGCTGCACTGTACTTAACCCTTAATTTTAACAACTTTAAATGAGAACTTTGTAAATATTAGAAGTTTCATTGAATTTGATGGGATATAAGCGTTGATAAGCTTGACAAAAATGCATAATGTATTCACTTCCATGTTCCATGTAAGCGTCCTAGATTTTGATACATGAAAAAATAGCATCAATGTTCCTCTAGCAATATCAATAGTTTAGCATATATATGAGCATCTCAGGTCCTTGTGTAGTCATCATAAAGAGAAAGTTTATGTTTCAAGTAATAACAAAGCTACAAGCCTACAACCCACTATCTTTACCAAAAAAAGAACCCACTCCAATCCTAAAAATTCTGGTAGTAAATATCACATATGAGATATGCATTAATTTGGTCATTCTTTCAGTAAATTCCAAAAGGAACCCAAATACTTTCAGTGGGTTCTGTGGCCCAACATCCAAAATATAGCAAATTATAAAACCACTTGCCAAACCATCAGATTCACAATTAGTTAATGTGAAGTCCATGCTTGCTACTGCACGAAAATGATAACCATCTTCTCAAAAGGTTTAGAAAGAAATAAAAAAAAATAGCCCCACTGATTTCCAGCACTGGAGGTTCGTTGTCAGAGACCACTAGATCTAGATGTACACAAAAATCCCATCTCCATATCAAGGGAAATCCGGTGTTCTAAAAGTGTAGGGTGCAAGAAAAGCACAAGGACCTTTTGACACTTGAAGCACAAGGTACAAGGCAAGGTATGTGCCATCTTGAAGAAGGGCAAACATTATTTTAAGTAAACATATGTGGACCATACCAAAGTGCTTCAAGCACTCAACAATTCAAGCATGAGAAACTTTCAATGTGTCCATTTTATCTCCTAGTTACATTATTTTAAGTAGCTAATGTAATGTAGACCTGTTCATGGGCCGGGCTCTAAATCTTCATAAACAGGATTTTCTTAGGCCCGAGCCCGAGCCCGAGCCCGAGCCCGGCCCAACCAACGGGCCTGCAACTTAGGCCCGAGCCTGGCCCTAATAAAAAGTCCGAAGCCCGACCTGTTGCTGACCTAACAGAAAGATGGTCACCGGTGCTGAGTTCGCATGACTGTGTTCGTCGGTGCTGAGTTCGCGTTGATAAAGCATAGGGAGGAAGAACCCCTGTTTTCTGAGAAACCCAAAGAAGAAAGGAAAATTGAACGAGCGACCATAGGGGGGGAGAGAGAGAGAGAGAGAGAACTCCTGTTTAACTGGATTGGATGAAGCTTGCTATCCCATTAGGGTTCTCCACCAACAACGATCTTAGCAGCAGCATCTTGTTTGACAGAGTGAGGGAAGAGTGGACAAACCTTGCTATGCATCACTATTTTCTACCGGTAGCGATCTTGCGACAGCTATCTCGTTCAGCAGAGTGAGGGAGGAGCAGATGAAGCTTGGTATTCCATCAGCCTTCTCTACCAATCGTGAATCGTGATATTGTTTGGCTGAGGGAGAAAGAAATTTGAGAGACCAAGAGAAGAGAGAACTGGGGTTCGGCTAAGACTAAGAGAAAGAGATGAGTGAGAAGAGAGGGGTTAGGATATTAAGGATTAGGGTTTTTTGGGTTTAACCTATAGGTCGGGCTCAGGCCAGGCTATTTTGGCAAATCCCGGGCCTGGCTCGAATTTATTGCGGGCTGGGCTTTTTGGCCCAAGGGCTCAAACGTTTGTTCAAGACCGTCCGGGGGCCGAGCCGGGCTGGGCCATCGGGCCACCCGGCCCATGAACAGGTCTAGTAAAATGTTAAACATCTTGCATTCCTAATCCTGGGAGATTGGCCCACCAGATCCATAAAGGGGTTGCATTTGTGGTTTTAGTTGCAGTTAATTCTATTTTAGGATTAAGTATCAGATAAAGGTGTTGCTTATGTATTGAAAACTTTTCTATTTGAGATCCTAGTTGCAAGAAATAAGACCTTGGGTATTTAAAAGGACTTTATTTTTGTTTATTTAATAGCTAAAAGGCCATTACTAGTGTACAAACAACAGCAAAAGACAATTTATACGTTGAGAATCTACAATAAAAAGGCATACAAGGGGGCTGTGCCTGGGTTCAAGCACAACACACGCCTCAAGATACACCTAACCAGTGACTCAGGTATGCCTTTTAAAACACTGGAGAGATCACTCATCCCTTGGAAGATACTTGTTGCATCAAGTCATTAAATTTTTCATCACAGAATGCTCTTTAGAAACTATTGAGTGCAAGATTTTGGTTCTTGAAACCAGACAGTGTTACTTCCAGTCTTCCACCAATACCAAGAGATTAATGCTATTTCTCTGCTCTCCCTACTTGGACAACCAACTATTGAAATTGTATCATATTTTTCTCAAAAAAAAAAAAAAAACATATGATAATAATATTTGAAATGAACCAACCACCAGGTCAAGTATTTCATCACATGTGTACCTTTTCTGAGCAGCTTCCTCTTCCTCCACAAGCAACTTCTGGCATCTCAGGGCTTCAGCATCCTTATCAGCTATCCATGCTTTAACCTGTGACAGGTGATAAGTGACTACACCACCAACAAAGCGTATAAAGTACAGACACATGTATTCTTTGCACTTGACAAGAAAACAAGGTTTCAAAACATCCACGTATAAAGTACAGACACATGTATCCTTATCGGCTATCCATAGATTAATGCATTTGCACTTGCAAGGACTTTCTGTTTGATTGAGCTCTTAAGAAAACATCCACTTTGGAAACATTATGATTTTACAACAATCAAATAAAAATCAAGGCACTCTTACTCCACAAGCACTTGCTACATTTTCAAAATCTATTTGAACCATGTGTAATATACAGTGACATATGGGTTAAGAGAGAAAAGGTATAAGAAATAAATATTTCAATTTCGCATCATTATTCAACAAGTGCCTGGATCACTTGCTTTTTAAGTTTTAACTGCCAAAATGCAGTGATGGACTTGAGATTGGGTATCTTTTAAGAAATGTTATTTAATTGTTCATATCTTGACACTTTTCTTCCAAACATAACCCTATATCAAATTAAACCAATTCAAACTTCTTACTATGCCTGAAAATGAAAATATTTTTCTATTTACCCTACACGAATTGACTACAAATATACATGGATAAGATTGCAAGTATTTGTGATGTGAAGAATGATAATAAAATAGCATAAAATCAGTGTTATCAATGCAGTCAAGCAATGACTAGTTGTTTAGGCCTCTCTAGTTGATGTGATGAGTGATGACTAGTCAATAAAAGAAGATATATTCTAAATTTAAGATATTGATAGTTTGATACAATCTCATAAGTCATAATAAGTCGACATAAGCTACAATCAAGCCACAAAAAAAAAAATGATATTGAACATTTAGTTTAATCTCTATTTTTCTTTTTTTTTTCTCTGGTAGGAGGAAGGGGGTGGGGTCAGAGCAGGGTACACATGAGGTCCACTGACCTACAACAAAGAGCCTGCATTTATGCAGGTACAGAGGGAAACAGTGACTGTCTCAGCTATGGGCATCAGCAGTTTAATCATTTTTTTTAAACAAAGAAAAGTTTCCAAAGAAAGAGAGCAACTTTGATTATTCGATGTGCCCTTTATTTGTGGCAACTTCATACCACTGAAAGAAAGAAAACTTAAAAGAATCCCATTGCCTTTTTTTTTATTTTATCCCTTTTTCTATTTTATATATCACCATCCAATCATGTAAGTTCCATCCCAGATATTTAAAGCAACAGCACAAATATAAACTAAATCGAAACATATTTTATATTTTTTCAAATAATTAAAAATCTCAAGGGCTGAAGGGTATTTCTGATCATAATCTTATGGATTACTTTATTCGATGTTTTAAAATGCGGAGGCATGACGCGAGGCGTTCCACTACCTAGAGGTTTGAGGCGTAGTTCAGAACGCAAGAAGCATAAGCCTCCCCGAACAGAAAGGGGAGGAGGAGGGGGGTTAGGAAGAGGATGAAGAGGAAGGGGGATCTCATTTTTTCTTTATTTTTAATAAAAATCTTTTATATTAAGAAGAATAAAGATGCATAACATCAGTTGAAGGGGGGGGGGGGGTCTTGTCAAAGCGGAGGCGAGAGAGCGAAGCGAGCTTATATTTTTGAGAAAAAAACTTACAGAGAAGATATCTAAAAGTACAAGTTCCAACAAAAAACAAAAGCTTATAGAGAAAATATCTAAACAACCATGACTCTGCAACATGGGCATGTTTTTCTTTTTTTCTTTTTTTTTTGAGAAAAAAGGTAAAGTATTGTATTAAACTTGACAAAAAGTACAAGTATCAAGTATGCAATATGGGCATGTTTTAAATAAAAAAGTTCAAAGGTTTAGACAGTTATCATCATCTGGAGAAAGCCTCAATACATAGTGGTCATGCAGTTGATACAAGAAATCAACCCATGGGCCAAGGCCAATCCAGAGGACCCACTACATCGTCTGAATTAACACCATCTCTCTATATGGCTGAAAGGAGAACATAGAGAGGACAAATGAATAAGCTACCTTTTTCTTTGATAGATAATGAATAAGCTACCCATTAAGAACACCTTGTATTACATAAAAATGTGTCCACATATTATACATACAGATAAATAGTTTGAGAGGGGAAGGGGAAGACAATACCAGCTTCTGTTCCACCAGGAAACTCGTGCAAGCAACCAGATTCTTCATCTCAAGACCAATCTTCCCAGCTTCTCCATCAAATACAAATTTTTGCATGGAATCAGCTGTGCCAGCACACAAGAAGGTATTTTCGCTTGCATCATCAAGGATGCTGAATAATTCCTGGGAAGATAAAGGAAACTTTGAAGGTCTAGCTTGGATAATATCCTGCAGAAAATATGTATACTTCTGAGATTCTCGTAGACAAAATACCAAATTATGAGTAATGATGTCATGGTAATAAGTAACAACTGCAAAATAAAATAGAGTAAAAAATGATGGAAAATATAGATGTCTCAATACCAGAAGGGCTGAACCAGCCTTCACATAAGCTTGTGGCAGTGAAGAAAACACCGGCTTCCAAATAAATGATGTCAATGCCCTTATAATTGATGACCCAGGAACTTCCTAAAATGTATTGCTTATTAGAAACACGTTAAACAATAGAGTGGAAAACATTTATCAAAAAAAATAGTGGAAAATACGAATTAATGGAGAAAGAAAGTGGGAAGGAAAAAAATGCAGTGCTAGTAACATCTTTACCGACTGCCTAAAACACCCAGTAACATCTTCGAACATGGACAGCTTGTATGTATTTTTTGATATCACTACAATTGACCTTTTCAAGATATAATATATATAAAAGGTTGTGTGTTCTTGCAGCCTAAAAAACAATTGTTAATATTATAAAAAAGGTTTTACTATCATGTATCATCATTTCCAAGATCCTTTTAAATTGGGAAGGGTAAAGTATCATTTTTCAATAATGTATAGCAAATTTACTAAACACTAATGCCTATGTACGCCAAGGCATTATACAGTAGAAAGTACATAAATGTATAGAGATGTCCACAACCTTCTTTTACATCTACTCTTTTGTAAAGCTCTTGCTCTCAAATGCTCTACCCCAAAACCACCCAAAATACCACCATAGAAATCATTTACCCAACTACCTTTATTGCTCAAACCGCTCAAATTACAGCTATACCCAAAAAAAACTCTAAAAATTCCGATAAAATTTGCCCATAAGTGGTCAGTTTGCAATGAATGAAAAGGTCTTCTGTTGTCACCTCATTTGCAGCACATAGTATGCATTCTAGTGAAATCTAACTCCATCCACACCCGCTTAGATTATCCCTCACTGGGCACTTACCTTAACACTGGTGGGCACCAGAGCTTTAAAAACAGCAATGTTCAAGTCCAGAGCTTATTCTTTCTCTTTATTTCCTATCTTAAATTTTATCATATAAAATTATAGCCTTCTTTAGTTGCTAATTTGATATGAAATTGCTCTATAAATGCTTATTATATTATATTATTTTTGAAAGTATGAAAATTCATTGGAGGAAATTAAACTTTGATGGTAGCTGTATGGGAAATCCTGGACCATCGGGCATTGGTGGGGTGATAAGGGAAGAGAATGGGAATATTTTAGCCATATACTCAGGTCCTATTCAGCATGGTGATGTAGTGAGATCAGAACTAATGACAGCAGTGTATGGTGTTGAAAAGCCAAAGAAATAAGGATTAACAGGCTGATTATTGAAGGGGACTCAAAAATTGTTGTAAACTGGCTGAAAGAGGAAGGAGTAATATGGAAGCTATGAAATGAACTCAGGCACTTCAAGCAGATCTCTAAATACATGTTAATCCAAGCAGATATCTAAACAAGGGATTCAAAGACGATCTATATTCTGGGCTGGTTTGTAATTAGTGGTTTTCTTCTCCCAGGCTTATCCTTCTGCCCACAACCTCTTGTTGTATATGCTTTTTTAATCTAATCAATAAATAAATTCTGTGTTGCTGATTAAAAAAAAAAGTATGAAAATCCAATATATTTGAAAGTATGTTAAATGGGTAAGCAGGTCAGCAAACACTGTGGCTGATTCATTGGCCAAGCAAGGGGTATCCAGGGAAGGTCTTTTTTGGGCATCTTTGTTAGGGGTGAGCAAAAAAAAGCGAAAAACCGACCGAAACCGAACTGAAAAATCGGTTAACCAAACCGATCGGTTCGGTTTCAGTTCAGTGATTTTAAAAAACCGAAGGTATCGGTTCGGTTTCGGTTAACCAATTTAAAAAACTGGTGGTTAACCAAACCGACCAGTATACATGTTTTTGTATATATTTTTTATATATTTATGTATATTATATGTATTTTATATATTATAAATTAATAAATACGCATTATATACATAAATATATATTTATAATATACTATATATTATTTATTATTTAAAATATAATATTTTATATATATTTATAATTTTTTATTATATATTTATATATTTTTATAATAAATATTATAAAGTTAAAAAAACCGAAAAACCAACGAACCGAACCGTCGGTTAACCGAACTGGTCAACCAATTAACCGATTGGTTTCGGTTCGGTTCCGGTTACCGGTTTTCCAAAAACCAGTACTACCGGTTTGGTCCAAAAAAAAGACCCACGGTTCGGTTACCCGAACCATGAACACCCCTAATCTTTGTAACTTACTCTAGTAAGTAGGGAAAGCTGTATCTGAATATTCTGAAGAGGTCACATCTCGTGCCTCTCCTTAGGATGCTTGTACTTCTTATCTTTGGTATCTAATAAAATTTATTCAATTGTCAAAAAGAAGTATGAAGATTGGAGCGAGCTTCAAGTGGACAAGAAGATCAGCATCAGCTAATGGACAAGCTAATACATTAACCAAACAAGGGACTGTGGGGGAGAGTTTGTTCTAGGCAGGGTTGTAAAAAGATTACTTTGTGTTCAACTCCCTAATTTGGGGGTTGACAGTTGTAATATTGTATCCTAATTTTATGTTAATGAAAAAAAATCAATATATTTGAAATACTAGGTCCTAGATATGAAGATTTTCCATGTTTTTTGGATCAGCAATGATTTGCTATGTTTTGAGAGGAAATGTAATGTTCTTAATAGAGAATTACTATATTTTCAATTAACATACAATTGTGCATGTTGAATGGTAATACAAACTAGGGAACCAGGCAAATTATAGATTTTTAATTTTATGAAATTCTTATCACCTAGGTGACTAAGCAACCCACTATTGCCCAGAATCGTCTGAATGCCTTGACAACTATGCTGTTATGTAGAAGAATCCCATACCATGGCTTTTTTATAAGCAAAGATTTATTATGTATTAAGCAAAATAAAATGTGTAGTGTGTATCAATGAAAACTTAACTACTTGCACATGTTTCGTCTTTAAGAAATAAAGCAAACAGACAATAAATTAAATCCAATAAAACCATTACCTCTAGTGTCACATTTTTGAAGGATACAAGTTCCTTGGACTCATCCAAAGAAAGCTGCAAAACATACAAATAAACAAGCAGTTCTCTTAGTGGGAAGTGCATTACTTACGAACAAACAGTATAAATTATAAAAAGACAAAATATTACCTTATCCCAAAATGCTCCTAATATATCCCTATTTTTAGGAGAGTCCTACAAAATGGCAACTAAACATCAAAAAACTGAATATCAAATGTCACAAAATAAGAACAAAGTCATCAGGAGTCTCCAACAGAAAGATGAAGACAATTTGCTTAACAACATGGAAGTACTATAAGTTTTCAAGATAGGATAGACCATAAATATTCAATATAGCTTGAACCATAAATATTCAGCATGGAAGTACTATAAGTCATCAATGTCTCGTAATAGAAATAAGACAGACAGAAAAAAAAAAAAAAACCTTGTCAATGTTCAAAGACCGACGATGTACACGTATGTGCCTTCTATAGTTGATGGGTGAGCAAAACTCCCGAGAACACTTATCACATTTTTGCATCGGAACCTTAGAAGGAGACAGCAGGGGCCATCCTGGGAGATCTACCATAGAGAAAGAGAGGTAATGAATCATCAACATCTTTGGTTTCAACCTCAAGCAAAACCTATTGCTAGCTACAACCCAAATACCTGATTATGACACTTGACATACATTTTTCAGGCTCACCATTGGCCTTAGCAGCTGCCTGAGCAAAGGCAACAACAGCCTCAGGGATTTTGAGAGTTTGCATGTTTTCAGAGGCACTCTTCGTCCCCTTTACTGCAATGCCGCTACTTTTTATAGGGTGAATAGATTCCTTTACCCCATTACTTTCCGAGGTATACATACTAACACCATTACAGTGCCCCAGATGACGTTCCTTCCCTTCTATGTTGTCATTAAACTTTGGGCCTTTAGAGAGCTTAGCAGTACCTTGCTGGTCTAAAGCATGAAGTAATTGAATCCACTGGACTGGACTGTCACCAGCCCTTGGAAAAGAAAGAAAAGGCTCTCTTCCTATTGCTTGTCTGATAAAACTGTCAAGGGAATCACTTCCCTCCTCTGGCTTCCCAACCTTCTGCTCAGGCCTCATTGTATCTGCAGTGCTGTAGTCCCTTGGTGTTGGCATTGGCATCTAAATTCCCAAACAAAATTGAACAATTGCTGCTTCACAAAACAGACCCTGTGTAAAAACAAAAACGGAATGGAAATTGTGAGAAAAATGTGCAAACAAACTATCATGCACTCATTGACACAACAGTTTTTTTAACTTCAATTGAAAATGACAAAGAATTTATTTAGTTAAATAAAAGCTCTTGACAAGGTAAAAACAATAAGATTCTTTTCCCCACTTTGTGCAAGGAGCAGGGCTAAATGATTAAGTTTAAGAGGACAGTGATAAGTTAGCCAAAAAATTGAAATAGTTCAAAGGAACTCATCCAAAGTAGCAAGAATTTAAATTCTAACAGCATTCTTCAATTTAGTCCTGCTTTCAAGGGTGTGCAGAACTGCATCTAAAAATAAATAAAAATATAAGTTTAGTTCAGTATGCTTTTCAATGATCTATGGACAAAAGGAGAGAGAAATATAAAGGAAAAAAAGAAGAAATGGGAAGGGAAGAGAGAAAAAGAAAAGTAGATTGTGGAATAAAAATAGGTATAAAATAAGTGCAACAGAAAAGAAAAAGAGGAGAATCAGGAGACATTCTATTTTCATCTGGTTTATACCCGAACTTTTTTCCCAGACAAAATCACACATTTTCAACTGAACCTTGGCCATCATTTCAGTTCCAAACCATATCAGAACTCTCTTTTGGATGGACAGACATAATGGTCAATGTTCAGTAGTTACAAATGATGAAGGCAGGGTTTGATCCCAAGTCCCAGGTTCAACTCCCCAAGACTTCACCAACAATGTTAGCTGGCATCACCAATGTATCAAAACTTAGTTTAACTGGAAACCAAGCCCTTGGTAACAGAAGCCACAAGAAATAGCCCTAGGTGCAGAAATAATGCAATGCTCCAATGACAGTTAATGCAGGATATGGAGGTTATAAAGTGAACTAATAACCACTTTGACCATTATAAGAGTAGTGCTACTAGTAAAAGTTACTGCATTGGCAATACAATGTCTTAAACACAGGATGATTTGCCTTCACAAACAGAATCATCCATGAAAAATCATCTTAGTCTTAAGGGTTGAGATATCAATAATTTTCAATCACAAGAATGAAAATAAAAGAACACTGATGAAAAATAAATAATACAAGGTTGAAAGACTATTAGATTTTAGATTTCATAAGCCACTACATTAAGTGCCATTATGGTGCTATTACCTCAAATGGATTTCATGGAATATCACTGTAAAAACAAACAATATTTCCTCTCATTTAGAGATCAAGTTGAACTCAAGAGTTCTATCTTTTTGTCAGGTAGGATACCATAGGTTTTTACTAAACGATTGTAATTTAGGATAATGACCTAAAATAATCCCATAGTAAACCATATACAGAAACGATTAGAACTGAGTATAGTGAATAATATACAATACAAAAGTCTTAGACAATAAACAACTAAGGCAAGTTTTCGTAACAAGACCTATCTTTATATAGCCAAACAGTTGTTCCTGGTCTATATGTGTTTAAAAATAGGTCTGTAATTTGAAAAAAAAAAACAATCAAGCACAAAGCATAATATAAGATAAACCCAACCATTACTCTTTAACTTGTTTCCGCTTTTGTTACCACTTAGAAATTGACAACATATAAAAGTAAAAATACTTAGAGTATTGCACCTGTTTCCATGTGACAGTTTTTACTAATACCAAAACATTTTAGCGGCCAAGGTCCTGATTCAACCAGACAATATCACGAAGTTAACATGGTATTAGATGATTTTCATTCAGTTTATCGCTTCAAACAAATGCAAGATGAGCTAGATTCTCCTAGAACTAGGTATTAACACTGAAACCTAATGTCAGGATCCCCTTTTCAATGAAATTTCTTAATGTGACTGTGATTAGAACCTAGTGCAGCTATTTTACTTTCAGAATGTGAAGCCTCTGCTGTCAGCCAGGGAGATCGCCATGGAATCCATCATTCTTTTACAGCGATTGATAGAAAAATTTAGAGGGAAAAAGAGAAATCTTCATATGGTGTTCATTGATCTAGAAAAGCATATGATAGAGATCCTAGAGAGATAATATAGTGGGTCTTGGAAGAGAAAGAGGTTCCAAATAGGTATGAATAGGTGTATATATATATAAAAAAAACCTAAGGAAAGGATTTGTATGAGAGTGCAACAACCAATGCTAAAACACCTGTGGGAGAGACAACAGATTTTATAGTTACAATGGGACAATGGGTCTTCACCAAGTTTGAAGGAACCTAGGAGTAGCTTCAATAGGTTATAAAATGAGAGTAGCTTCAATGGATTATAAAATGAGAGTAGCTTCAACAGCACCTGTAAGAAGTGATTTGTTGCAAGTTGAAGGGGATAGAAGGGCTAGGGGTAGACCAAAAAGGACATGGGTGGTAGTAAGAAATGATTTAAGTGCAAATAATTTAATAATGGATATGGCATTAAATAGAATGGAACGCTGAAACAGGATTCATGTAGCTGACCACATATAGTTGGGATAAGGCTTGGTTAACGATGATGGAATGTGAGGTTTCTGCTGCCAATAAATGGTTAGGTGAAAGTGTGGTCTGCAACAAACAGTTTTTCATTATTTCTATTTATGAAAACAATCAAAGTTATTATGTGGTGTACCATATGAAATATCATAAATGACTAATACCAATAAGAATAATCCCTTACTTTATTGTTAGAAACGAAATCAGGTGATCTCCAATTAAAAAGAAAAAAGGGGGCAGCCATTCAAAGCATTGGCCCCTCTATTTTCCCAAACAATCAAGCATGAACGGCACAAGCATATGGCTCCAAAGGAAATTCTTTAGCCTTAATAAAATTAACAACAAAGAGAAAAATATTAAGGGAGTTATATGTGAGTGTAGAAATTCGACGGGAAGATAAAATGCTATAACATTTTTCACGAAACCAAACAAAAACAACACGGACATGAGTGTAAACTTAATAAACAAGAATGTTAACTTCCTATTGTCAATATAAATATCCCTGGACTACACTCTTTACAGACTGTAGATTCACCAAAATTAAGTGAATGCAGCCCAAATCAATTAACCCGTACGGTACAAAGATGTGTACTACAAATGCAGCTAAGAACGGGTAACAGATTAGAATTTAGAACCTCCGTTTAGCCTCCAAATCTAAAAACAGAATAACAAAATTAAATATACGCCAAAAATCCAAAAGATAAATTTTAAAACATTATGAATTTAGGATATTTAGCTCCACCGCCCCGAACACTATGAATAAAAATATATAAAAAAAAAAGAGTAATAAAAAAATGCATATTAAAAAATGGAACGGATCAAAACCTAGAAAAGGAATAATCCAAACAGAACCATATAAAAAAAAAAAAAGTAGGTTAAGCAATCTGAAAATGTAAACGACCAATCGAATTCAAACCGGGTAAAGCAATTCAAGCGATCAGTTCGAATCAACAAATCACAGAACTTAAGAGAAGCTGGCTAAGATGCTCCGTCATGAGATCTACAATCATCCATTAATAACAAAACACTCAAAACAAGGAGGCGAAGTGGAGTGGCAGTTTGCATACCAGTTCAGATGGCGGGATCAGTCAGGAGAGTAGAGTTATTTTGGCAGGGGTTGCGGACGATCGGAAAGATTCGAGGTCRCGGCAGAGAATTGACAAACCCTGAAGCCGGGATGAATCGGTCGGAAAATCTAAAGTGTTCGCCGAAATCTCGACCAAAAAAGCGAGGTTCCGAGG